CGTTGCCTATCAGACATGAGCGATATTGAAATCGTTACCGAATTGCATTCTCAAGGGGTAACTCATGTCAAACGATTCACGGCTAAAAGAATAATGAAACCTTGAAAACAAATACTTATTTGTTCACGTTTTGTATGCCAGTTCACCCACAATCACTGAAAGCAGGTTATTGCAACTTGAGGGTGGATACTTTCATCCCCAATCCTTTAAGATGCTATACTTGTCAGAAGTATGGTCACGGGGCCAAGTCTTGCAACAATCCAGCTGCATGTCATCGATGTGCTGGAACATGCGAAGACAGTATCCTTTGTGACAAAACACCTCTTTGTGTCAACTGTGCAGGTTGCCATCCTTCTTCTTCAAGGAATGTCCTTCCTGGAAGTTGCAATCAAAATTTCGCGAGTGAAGCATGAGCGAAACGTGTCCTTCTTTGAAGCTAAACAGATTGTTCTTGCTCAAGAACATTTAGGTCCAAGTTATGCTGCCACTGTTTCGGCTTCGGTTCAGCCCTCTACACCAAAAAAATGTTTCATATACTTCAGTAGGTTGCCAAACCGACTATACGTGGGCTAGGACTTCTGCTCCTACCTTGGTAACTGCTGAAATTCAAGCGAGACCTTCAAAGGTGACTTCAAGTGCTCAAACCATGCCTTTGCAAACTATCACTCCGTCTAAGGCACTTTCTGAGACAGACACATCCTCATTTCAGAAGCAACCATCTGACAAAAATGTGAAAGTAACTGTGAAGAATCAATCCAAACCAAACTATGAAAACAAAAAAGAATCAAAGTCACAGAGCCCCAAAAGGGTCGACTAACCAGGTCAAACTTTACAATAAGTTTGGATCCCTTGAGGACATGGATGTGTCCGACCACAGCCATGGTAGGACACATAGCTTGTCACCCTCAAGGAAGGTGAGGGGTAGATCTCCTGTCCATCCGCCAAAGAAATAATGGCTTCACCTCTAATTCAATGGAATTGTAGAGGAATTAGGACTAATTTAAACGAGTTACATCTATTAGTCCAAGATTTCAAACCATCAGCGTTCTGCATACAAGAAACCCATCTGAAACAGGCAGATAATTTTGACCTACGTCAGTTCAGTGCATATCATTATTTCTCTCCTCCTGGCGATAGAGCGTCTGGTGGAGCATCAATTTTGGTGAGGAACAATATTATACATAGCCCTGTCCCACTTAAAACAAATCTCCAGACCGTTGCAGTTCGCCTTACATTACAGGTTGCTTTTACTTTGTGCTCTCTATACATTCCGCCTTCATCAACTGTTCAACTTTCAGATTTACAAGCTCTTTATGATCAACTACCTAAACCCTGTTTAATCATGGGGGATTTAAATGGCCACAACCCACTCTGGGGTGGTATTAATACAAACACCAAAGGTAAATTACTGGAGGATTTTATTTCAAATAATGATTTATGCATTTATAATGACGGTTCACAGACATATTTACATCCTGGCACAGGAACATATTCAGCTCTTGACTTGACTGTTGCTGACTCTAACCTACTGAGTGAATTCGAATGGTCGGTCCATGACGACCTCTGTGGAAGTGACCACTTCCCAACAATACTGACACCTGTGAATCCATCTGATGTTCCTCCATCGTCAAGATGGAATTTTAGAAAGGCTAACTGGCCTTTATATGAAGCTCTCTGTGTTGACAATCTGAAACCTGAACTTTTTAATGACATTCCTGATGCCATAAAATGTTTTGCAGATGAACTAAATAACATAGCTGACGAGTGTATCCCAAAGTCCTCTGCAATTCCTCACGTACGAAAACCATGGTTTACCAATGACTGCAAACAGGCTAGGAAGGCCCGGAAGAAAGCCGAGCACTATTTCCGTCGCCATCCTATGGTCCACAATTTGGACAAATTTAAAATTTTAAACGCCAAAGCTCGACGCACTTTCAAGCAAAGTAAACGTCAATCTTGGCGAAACTATATATCAAAGATTAATTCGCGCACACCTATATCAAAGGTGTGGAATATGATCCAGAAAATCAAGGGTAAGGGCTCTAAATCTAGCATCCACCATCTAAAAGATGGGAACACATTATTGACTAGTAAATCAGATATTGCAAATAAACTTGGTGAGACGTTGGCCAAACATTCTTCCTCAGCAAATTATGTACCTGAATTCCAAAATATCAAAAACAGCAAGAAAAGAAAGCTATTAATTTCAATTCAGATAACGGGGAAGACTACAATGAAACCTTTTCGATACATGAGCTTCATACCGCTCTTGATCAGGCTCACGATACTGCTTCTGGAGCTGATAACATACATTATCAACTCCTGAAGCACTTGCCAGAGTCATGTTTGGAGACACTGTTACATATTTTTGATGATATTTGGACAACTGGAAATTTCCCTTCGTCGTGGCGTGATGCTATCATTGTGCCCATCCCTAAACCTGGACGTGATCATACAGATCCCTCTAATTATAGACCAATTTCACTGACAAGCTGCGTTTGCAAAACCATGGAACGTATGATCAACAACAGACTTGTTTGGTACTTGGAAACCAATAACCTTATAACTAATATACAATGTGGTTTCCGTAAAAACCGTAGTACCATCGATCATTTAGTACGTTTAGAGTCTTTTGTAAAAAATGCCATGATTAATAAACAACATGCAGTGTCGATCTTTTTCGACTTAGAAAAAGCATATGACACTACATGGAAACATGGTATTTTAAGAGATTTACACGATTTTGGATTGAGAGGCCGTTTGCCTCAATTTATATCAAGTTTTTAGCTGACAGGCAATTTCAAGTCCGCGTGGGTTCTACCCTGTCTGACCATTATAATCAGGATCAGGGTGTCCCACAAGGCAGTATTTTGTCTGTCACACTTTTTAGCATCAAAATTAACAGTTTATCCAAGGTTTTAAATGATTCAATAGATGGATCACTTTTTGTGGATGATTTTAATATTTCTTGTCGTGGTAAGAATATGCATACTATTGAACGGCAACTGCAGCTGTGTTTAAATAAAATACATAAATGGTGTCTTGAAAACGGTTTTAAATTTTCCAAGTCCAAAACTAATTGTCTACACTTTTGTAGAAAATATAAGCCGCATAAAGACCGGAACTATCTCTAAATGGCACTCCTATCAAAGTTGTGAAGGAGGCCAAGTTCTTGGGTATTATTTTGACTCACACTTAACGTTTCTACCACATATTAGAGCACTTAAAACTAAATGCCTGAAGGCTCTCGATTTGTTAAAAGTTGTTTCCAACTCAAAGTGGGAGGGATCAAACTACCCTCCTTCACTTATACCGATCATTGGTACGATCTAAACTTGATTATGGTTCGATCGTATATGGCGGAGCCTGCAAAAGCAACCTTAAATTACTTGATTCTGTTCACCACCAAGGTCTAAGACTTTGTCTTGGATCATTTAGAACCTCTCCAGTTGATAGTCTCTATGTTGAGGCAGATGAGCCTTCGATTTCCCAACGCCGTATTAAATTATCCTTACAATATATTACTAAACTATATTCAAACGAATCTAATCCTGCATTTAATTGTGTCTTCAATCCTCTTTATGAGGATTTGTATAACAAAAGCCTTCTCTTGTTCCGCCTCTTGGGCACAGAATTAAACCATTCCTTTCTGCTGCTGGCATTGAGCTGGAGAATATATCTCCTTCTCGTCTTCTTTCTTCTCCTCCTTGGCAATTGGTGAGGCCAGAAGTTGACTTAACATTAACCACATTTAAAAATCCGAAACTAATGATTTACAATATAAACAAGAATTTAGTCAATTAAGAAACAAATATAATACCTATAAATCCTTATATACAGATGGATCCAAGGATGGTGGCGCGGTTGCTTGTGCCACTGTCATTGGGTCCAAAACAATATCTTCCAGACTACCCAATGACAGTTCAATTTTCACAGCAGAAGCAAACGCCATCTTAACAGCTCTTAAATATATTAATAAACACCGTAAATATAAACAATATATAATATTTTCTGACTCTCTTTCTTGCCTTCAGGCAATTAAAAATCTCTCTTGCAAACATCCACTTTTAATTGAAATAATCGAATTATATAATGATCTTGCTACTGGCCAATGCGACATCGTCTTTTGTTGGTTACCCAGCCACGTTGGCATTTCTGGCAACACAATGGCCGATCTAGCTGCCAAGGCAGCACTCAACAAATCTGTGACACCACTTCTGATCCCATACTCGGATTATAAAGCCAGCATTAGAACATACATCCGCGATCTGATGCAAAAGAAGTGGGATGCCCAAGTAGGTATCAATAAATTACATGCAATCAAACCAACTATCGGTTACACCTACTTGGGTTGTCAGTCCAGATTTGAAGAGGTCATCATACGACGATGTCGTATTGGCCACACAAGATATACTCATGAGTACCTATTGAAAGGTGAGGATCCTCCGTTTTGTATCCCTTGTGATGAACGAATCACGGTCAAGCATGTCCTGCTTGACTGTGTTGAATATTCCATCACAAGGGATATCTATTTCAATGTCAAAACTTTGAAGGATCTTTTTTATAATGTTAATTATCATTTAATAGTTGAATTTTTAAAAGAATTAGATTTGCTTACTGATCTGTAAATAGTTAAATATTTTATTGTTGGTAGTTTAGATTAATAACTGAGATTGTTAGTGGCTGTGCCCTCAAAGGGGGTTGAAGTACTGTAAAATTATTGTCCTCCTGAGAGGGTACGTAAGTCCCAAAGCATTCAAAGTAAATTTAAATCTACTGTTATTTTAATCGTAGAATATATGTTCTTTTAATTTGTGGCTTGAATATCTAAAATTGCTAATAGCTGAGGGATGGTGTAAATCCAGCTAGGGTCCATGCAGGAAGCAAAAGTAACTGTACCTTCAGTTGTTAGTCCCCATGGTCCCTAGTATGGTGATCTACCTTCAGTTGTTAGCAATCTATAGCAGTAGAAATCGCCTCACTTTATATCCAACGTCAAAATAAAATAACCTAGACATTTGTGATAACAGGCCAATTATTGCAGAATACTGTTCTCTGGTGTCTATTTATCATGTACACAAAACCCAAGAAAAATCAAGAGTGGGGAAATATGTTTTTGGGGGTGTCCAAAAAAGGTCCCAAAGCTTTGTTTTCAGCAAACTACACAAAAACAGTTGTAAGAAGATAGCACCGTTGCTATGTAAACAAACAGCTGTCAACTGCCAAGCTCCTGTCAAAGTGGACCAAATCTGGGTATGTATGAATAAAATTGAACACAGAAATTTACCAAATGCATATAAATAACCCTCAGATGCAATATCCACATGTTAAGCATGGACATATATTAAATAAAAATAGAAGAAGGTGACTTTGCAACCACTAAGCAGAAACATGATGACAGTGCCAAACTATCAATGTTATATTCTGCAAGTATGATTTTAACTTACAGTTACAAAGTTACATGCAGTACAAATAATAGCCATATACTGGCAAGTTAATTCTGGGCTAGTTTTTACACACATTAGAGTCAAATCAAAGACTTCAAGATCTTTTTTCATGGTGTTACTATAAATAGACTGCAGCCATCTATGTTTACTTTTCATAATTAGTTGTTTATATTGAATTATAACCTCACTACAAGGTACATAGCACTTATTGATATTATACATCAATTATGCTTGCCTAATTAATTAACATTAGTCCCCAAAAGTAATTATGTTTCAAGTTAATAAAAAGCCTGTATTGATGCCGAGGTCAAGGTCAAACACTGCAGAAAATATTTTCTTGACAACAAATTATAGATATGTGTATGTCAAAACCCTTCAGATGTAAATGTACTGTTTTACTTAGAATATCACCTGCAAAATATTTTTGATAGTGTTATTTTTATGGAACTATATAATTCAGGAATATTTTACTTATTAGGTGATATTTCAATACATATTTCAAGTGAAAGAGTTTATATTCTCCATTGAAACCCAGTATATCAATGCAGATAGTTTGAGATAATGTTACAAAACTACAAAACATGTGCAACAAACTTGCATGTTAAACAACCAGTAAAGTTTTATGTTTGAAGTTTAGATGAAATATCATTTCATTTCCACTGTTCTTTAAGTGAATATACATAATATGCATTCTATTTATTGATTATTAAAACAGAAAGTTGTTTGTAATTTACCATGTCAAAATATGCTTATTTGTATTTATTTTTACTCCATGCAGATGTTTTGGGAAAATATAGAGTGTACTATGTATCTCAGTAAGTGAAATATATAAGATGTGAAACAGGTTTATATATATTTTCTAAATAATAATTGGCCACAGAATATGTATTACCATGTCCAAATATGCCTATGTTTAATCATAAGTTTAATTGATTTTTTTATTTTCTTTACAGATATGTTTCGATCTCCAACATGACGTGTCATTTGTCACAATGGTTCAGGAGAAGTGAAACTAAGAGGCAAGGGTTTGAACACTCTACTCAAAGTATTAACTCTTTGTAATGATTCTTTACAATCAACTCTTTAATAAAAAAATAACTTTTGTCCATGAAAATGCAGAAAGTCATACTCAGCATAATCGACCATACTGAAAGCTCACAAAATAGACATCAATGAAAATACCCAGCCATGTGTATTGAGATCAGGGAACAGTACTTTAACAACTACTGAACTCACTGCCTTATTTATGCAAATAGGAGTGATTTGGAAGACCTTCAATAACATCCAAATAGAAATTCAGCAATCAGCAATATCAATATTTTCAGCAGAGGAAAAAAAGTATTCTGCAAGAGACCGTTCTCAACTTCTGTGAGAGAGAAGATCTTGATGATAAGGCAGTTGATGTTCCAGCTGGTGACATTGGTGCAGTTGAGGGCAACATACCACAGACATTGCATGGAGTGTTTTTTGCATGAGCATGAAAGGACAGCAAGGACAAACTCTGAGGATTCAGCAAGAAACATTAAGAACACAGCCTTCAGTTCCTGGTGTGAGCTGCTGCCAGAAAGTATGCAGAATGGAAAGCTGTACACTCTACAGTAGCTGTTGGATCTGTATGCTGCTGATCTGCTTACTGGGATCTCACCCTACAGTCTGAAGCATGTTAAACGCCGCCTCCTTAAGTATTTTGGATCAAGGATCACTATTGCAGAAGTAGAGGGGAGACCAAGTGTTGTGACCTTGACAGACATGAATCATGAATCACAAGTTGATAATACAGCCCATGAAAATCTCAAACAGCTTCATGTGCAACTGCTTGAACTGAAAGATCAGAAGAAATCACCATCAAGGACAAGTAAGCTGTGGCTGATGTTCATAGAGCAATGTCTAATCAGAGCAGGCAAAATTCAAGGAGACTTAATCAACATCACCCACAAGGATTCAGCATGAACCAAATAACAGCTCTCTGCACAAATATGACAGGGATGACATTTGGAAAGGTGTTGAAGAAGGCATCACAAGTAGTCACATTTGATTTACCACCATGAACAAGTGTGTCCGCCTATCAGACGGGGCACAGCCGAGGATGTCATCAATGGAGCTGTGTCAGCGATTACTATCAATAACTCTTGAGTGGTCCTCCATCTCCAGATGTCTTCTCATTTGAACTTGCAACAGTGTCACCAGCTTTCTTCCATGATGATGGATCCATGAGAAAATGCCCAAGTCTGTCCTGGCCAGATATCTGCTTTCACATTACCGGTACCACAAAGATGAAGAACACAGACAACACCAGGCGTAGTCGTTGAATGTGCACTTCTCCAGCATATACCATGGCAAGTATTGGTACCATTGCTGACATATGCAAGATCAATGTTGATAGTGTCATGCACAGAACAACACAGAAGTGGATGACACAGATGAAGCGGATGACACAGATGTCTTGGTGGCACTGATTTATCACAGCAAACATGCAACCAATCTATTCATGAAGTCACAGTAACAACTTATATCTATAAATAGTTGGTTGCAATGGGCGAGCGATCTAAGACCGCCAGGCTAGTGATCCAGCGAGCTTAAGGTGCCAGGGATCGAGCCACCTGGAGTCAACTTTGTGTACAGACTCTTTCAGTGTTGTCACAACCCCTAGTGTACAGTACACAACCCTGTACACTTAAAGAACCCACGAATCTGTTGGTATATGACCAGATTGTGTCCGCATGAATACGTGCAAACACCAAGTTGCGGGTACAGCAACATGCACTAAACTTGGACAACGTGCTGTGACTATGTGTCCCAGTCCACCCAGCTGTGAATGGGTTTCTCGTAAGGATGAGAAAGCCACATTAACTTTTGCGCCTAAATGGCTGCAAGAGTTGTATGGTCCTCAGGGAGTTGAGGTTGAAAAATATGATGTGCCGTTGAGATTGACATCCTATGATCGAGGGAAAACAACAGCGCATTGCTGAGCTAAGCTGGATATTGGCGCTATACAAGAGTTCTTGGTGGGTTGACTATAATAATAATCCCCATTAATAATAAATAAATAGAGGGAAATAAGTTTGTGTGAGCCTACCATTTCTGTCTCGAAAGGACATTGGTTGTGCTTGCTCACTTAAAATAAACATAAATTTTGCATTTTGCTGCATTTTGTTATTTCATTTTTGCATTGCTGTATATCTTCAATTGCTGGTATGTATGTTCTGATGACTTCTGTTTGGGGTAATAATCGCGGCCAACTCAGACCACAAGACAACTGGCAGTTACCGTTACCGTTCTAATAAAGATTTTACTGATCCATAATGTGCACCTGTGTTTGTTTTATTTTTTATGTCATAACAATCACTGTTGGTATCAACAACGAGACGGTAATTTTACTCAAAATGTTAAAAAAGAATGTTTCTATTAGCTGCAGTGAAATCGTGTGTCCCTCAGATATTTATAACTTCGGCCCGCATTATTCACAGCAATCACTATCATATTCTGTCTACTCACGCCTCGAAATAAAGTGTAACTGACAGAAAATGGATACGTATACATATGTCATAATTAATGGAGCTTAAGACGATCACATGTGGAATGATACTGTCCAAAATATTCAGTGTATTATGAGATTGCCAACAGCATCAGTCAGGTACAACAATGTATTTGATAGACAGGATTAACCAGAAGCAAACTGATGTCAAGAAAGGCAAACAGTTTTGCATCTCGCTCCATTTCCTTCACACAGAGTTTTGATCAAAAACTCATTCAAACATTACAAAAGATTGATGTCAGTGAATGTTTCTTATTGAAATGAGGCAATGTAAAGAGCAAGTTAATGAAATATAACAAAAATTATTGAAACCATAAACCTTGAGATTCACGACCTCATGACAGTAGAGTCAATAGAAGCTGACCTTCTTGATTGTGATATGGCGGCCATCTTGAATTAAAATGGCGGCCATTTTAAATTCAAGATGGCCGACATCGGTAAATAATTAAAATATTTTACATTTTGTTGAAAGTAGGCTTCTTTATAAATGAAAATACTAACCAGTATGAAGATAAACCAAAAATTTGTTATGAACTATGTAGCCGTGACAAGCGCATTCATGCTAAAATGTGGGTGAAAAGACAATAGACCCCACCCCCAACACCATGCACAAAAAATATATTTCCCCAACCTTGATTTTCTTTGGGTTTTATGGTGACCAATAACACCCTTCTGGTCAGGTTAAACACAAATTTGGCCTGTTATCAAGAAATATCTAGGTTCAGTGCAGTTTCTACTGGCCTACCATCTCTTACACAACGCCGTATCAAATTAACTTTACAGTATATTACAAAGCTTTATTCCAATGAGTCCAACCCCGCATATAACTGTGTCTTTACTCACTATATGTAGATCTGGCATGGCAAGAAGCCTTCTTTGTTTCGCACTCTTGGTATAAGAGTGAAACCTTTTTTCTTTCTGCTGCTTTTGGCATTGAGCTTGTGAAGCATATGGCTCCTTCCCGTTTCTCTCTTCTTCGCCTTGGCAATTGGTTCCATTTTAAAGTTGACCTAACATTAACTGCATTTAAAAAATCAGAAACAAATGAATTACAGTATGAAGCAAGAATTTGGTCAATTAAGAAATAAGTATAATTACATGCAAAATCCTTATTTGCAGATGGATTAAAGGGATGGTGGCGCGGTGGCATGTGCCTGTCGTTGAATCCAGAACAGTATCTTCACAGAATTGCCGAGATAACGGCTCTGTATTTTGGCAGAAGCCAGGCCAAATGTAGCGAGCTTGAAGCATGTTAATGGCTTGCCGTAGTATATGGAAGCGCATCTTTATGTTTGCGGTGTTTATTCAACTATGTTTAAGAAGCTGTTAGACGGCGTTTGCTAACAATATGAAGCTGATATCTGACATTCTAGGTATGCTTACGCCATCTGTAAATTTATTATATTAATATATTTCTTAATGGAACTTTAAATTCTTTGTTTTATACTGTAATTCATTGTTTCATTTTTAATCAGCAGTTAATGTTAGATAAACTTGTCAACAATGAGCGAAGAAAAACGGAGAAGACATATATGTTTAGCTCAATAACCGGCAACCTTGAAAAGGTTCACTCTTTACCAGAGGCGGTTGAAGGCTTCTTGTTATACCGAATCTTCATATGAATGAATAATTTACAGGTACCAACTCGGGGTGAACTTTCGATGAACAAAGACACACAGCAACCTATACTAACGAAGTATTTGTTTGGCGACCAGTATGAGATAAGGAACAAGACATGATCTTAGATTGATGATGAACGAATCAAAAGTTTAGTGCGAATGCATGAAGCGATGAACCACTCGAAGTTTGTTTCGATCAATGATCGATATATTAACCGGGGAGGTACAGCCTCCTCCCACAGAAGCCAGAAACGACTTTCAACGAAATCGAATAGCGAATTTACCCCAGTGACTGACTATGAAGAAAGGATGCGGATCATAAACGAACGGCCTCCTGGCTTTTAGGTATGATAACATTTCGAGTCTTTATGCGGTTATGTTTCTGCAAAATGGCCAACGAACAATTTTGATTTAAGCCAAACAAGCTTTTCAGCACCATTCCTTCTTCTTTTATTAAACACAGCTGCATTACCGTTCAACTTCAATATGCATATTCTTACCGCGACGAAATCAATCGTCACGAAAGATGATCCATCGAATAGTCGTTTAAAACTGCTTTGATAAACTTTGATGATGTAAGCCTGTTACGAACTGAAATACTGATCTGATTGATCAGCGAGGTTAATTACTCGAACTGAAATTGCCTGATACAGGCCGGTAAAGAAACTGCACTGGTGCATTTCTGATGAGCTGTTATGTTTTATTTTCGACCAGCGAAGAATTATCTGATCGCCATAAAACCCGAAATCGGTAATCTTTTTGTGCGTAATGACGAGGGTAGTCGTGTCGCTTCGCCACGCTGTGGTGTGCAACTGTTCGCCAACGGATTTTGGTTTGTCTTCATGCTGATTGTAAACAATACCCTTTCGACAGGCTTCTTATTGTTGCCGATGTCGACATTGTTTAGGAAATGACGCCGTTTTTAATTCGAATTGACTCTGAAGATCGGC